CCACTTCTCGATTCCAATGGCAAACCCGTCTTCGGTGGCGAAGTGTTGAGTGTTTTCGCGAACATCAATGAGGACACAATGGTTGTCGAGAAGATCATGACCTCTCGATTGGGCCAAAGAGAGCTGGAGTACGAACCCCACGAACTGTTGGGCACAGAACCCAAACCACAACACATAGAAGTTGAGGAATTCTACGTTAAATATAAGAATTTATCGTATTTTCATTGCGAATGGAAAACAGAGGAGGAGTTGGAGAAAGGAGACCGACGTATCGGACAGAAGATTAAACGATTTCGACAAAAGAAAGACACGTTAAATATGTTTGACTTTTTGGATGAAGAGCCATATAATCCCGATTATATAGAAGTCGATCGTATTCTTGATGTCAATGAAATCGAAGAGATTATTGAAGTGATTCCTGAAGTGATTCCTGAAGTGATTCCCGAAAAACAGTCGGAAAAGGAATTGAAAGACGAAACTGAAACCGAATCCCAAACAAACGATTCGCAAACTATTGAAACGATTGAAACCATAGAAACGGACAAAACAGAACCGAATTCAACCGAATCGTCAATTGTGCCAAACGATAGCGAGAAGACTGAACCAGAAGTTAGTGACGATAAAGAGATTAAAGACGATAAAGATTTGGTTGAAGAGTCCGTTAATGAAAAGTCTGAGGATTTACCCGAAGACAAAATAGACGACAAGACTGAAGACGAGTCCACTCAAGAAAGTGTTATCAAAAGTGATGAAAACACTGAAAAGTCTGAAACTCAAGAGTCAAAGAGTGATGAAAGTGACGAAAAAGTCAGTCAAACTGACAAAACAATGGACTCGATTGACGAAAAGCCAGAGGTTGTCGTCCAGACCAGAAAAGTGAAGCACTATTTGGTCAAATGGCGAGCTCTGGCCTATGAGGACAGTACGTGGGAACTCGCAGACGATTTGGATCCCATCAAAATCGAACAGTTCTATAAATTCCGAAAACCTCCGCCAAAGAACGAATGGAAACCAAAGAGAAGACCAAAACCGGCCGATTGGAAGAAGATTGAAGAGTCGCCCGTTTATAAGGGAAACAATACTCTTAGAGAATATCAATTGGAAGGCCTTAATTGGCTTAACTTCTGTTGGCATAACAAGTCAGTCATTTCTTGTCGTTGAATTTGAATTCAATATTTTAATTATGAATTTTCATTTGTAGCCAAAACTGCATTTTGGCCGATGAGATGGGTTTAGGAAAAACGATTCAATCGTTGGCTTTCGTGAACGAAGTGACAAACAGTGGAATTCCTGGTCCTTACCTAATAATAGCTCCGCTCTCAACGATCGGCAATTGGCAGCGAGAGTTTGAGACGTGGACTGACCTCAATGTGATTACATATCACGGAAGGTATTATACGATTCATAACTGTTATGTTAACTGTTAAATACCTGAATAAATGATTAACTGCTTGTTTCCTATGAATAGTTCTGCCTCTCGTAATATGCTTCAGGAATACGAAATGTATTACAAAAACGACAAAAATGAGAGAATCAATGGAATCTTCAAATTCCAAGTTATGATCACTACTTTTGAAATAGTATTAACCGATTGTCTAGAATTACGAGAAATCCATTGGAGGGCTTGTATTATAGACGAAGCGCATCGACTTAAGAACAGAAACTGCAAACTGTTAGAGGGTTTGCGTCTCTTAGACGTCGAGCAAAGGGTTCTTCTGACGGGAACTCCGCTCCAAAACAATGTCGAAGAGTTGTTTAGTTTACTTAATTTTCTGGAACCGACACAATTCACGTCCAATGAGAGCTTTATGTTAGAGTTTGGAGACCTCAAGACTGAGACACAGGTGGATAAACTCAAAGCTATTCTCAAGCCTATGATGTTGAGGCGACTCAAGGAAGACGTCGAGAAAAGTCTGGCGCCTAAAGAAGAGACTATAGTTGAGGTATGTTTTCGATTCAGTTTAACCATTGAATTGTTATTCTAATAATTGTATCCTTTTTTAGGTCGAGTTGACAAACGTTCAGAAGAAGTATTATCGAGCGATTCTGGAGAGAAATTTTCAATTCTTAAGCAAAGGCGGAACCTATGCTAATATGCCTAACCTTATGAACACAATGATGGAGTTGAGAAAGTGTTGTATTCATCCCTTTTTAATCAATGGCGCCGAAGAGCAGATAATGCATGAGTTTCGCGAACAACACAAAACCGAAGAGCCGACTGTTGGCGCTATTGTGAGCGCATCCGGAAAACTCGTACTCATTGACAAATTATTACCACGACTTAAAGATAACGGACATCGAGTACTTATATTCTCGCAAATGGTTCGCTGTCTCGACATTCTCGAAGACTATTTGGTGCAAAAGCGCTATCCATACGAACGAATTGACGGCAGAGTACGCGGTAATCTCCGTCAGGCGGCTATCGATCGATTCTGTAAACCAGATTCCGATAGATTTGTCTTTCTGTTGTGCACGAGAGCCGGTGGTCTGGGAATCAATTTAACCGCAGCCGACACTGTAATCATCTTCGACTCGGATTGGAATCCGCAGAACGATCTTCAGGCACAGGCGCGCTGTCACCGAATCGGCCAATCAAAGGCCGTCAAAGTATACCGACTTATCTGTCGAAACACATACGAGAGAGAAATGTTCGACAAAGCGAGCCTTAAGTTAGGTTTGGATCGAGCGGTCCTCCAATCGATGAACACATCCAAAGCTGGCGGTGTAGACAACGCCGCGATGTCCAAGAAAGAGATCGAAGACTTGCTGCGAAAGGGCGCCTACGGAGCACTCATGGAAGACGATAACGCCGGCGACTCCTTTTGCGAGGAGGATATCGAACAGATTCTTCAGCGCCGAACGCAAACCATTATCATTGAAAGCGAGGGCAAGGGATCTACTTTCTCGAAGGCCTCATTCGCTTCGTCCAGCAATCGGTCGGACATCGAAGTCGATGACCCGAACTTCTGGGAGAAGTGGGCGAAGAAAGCGAATTTCGATGTCGACGAACTCAAAGGCCGGAACGAACTCATAGTTCAGGAGCCCCGACGACGAACGCAAACGAAGCGTTTTGGCGCCGACGACGCCGTTCTCGATATGTCTGAACTGGAGTCCAGCGATGAGGACGACGACTCGGTCTCTATGCGAACGCGCGGCGGAAGGAATTCCCGATTACCTAAAGGAAAGAAAGGCAAGAAAGGCCGCGGAGGAGGCTATGAACGGGAGAGAGACGAGGACTATATGCAAGAGTTCGGTCCGGGAAACTGGACTCGAGCCGAGTGTTACAAAGTGGAGAAGGGTTTGCTTACGTTCGGTTGGGGCCGTTGGTCCGAGTGTCTGATTCTCGGCAACTTTAGACGTCAATTGAGTCGTTTGGATGTCGAGGGCATCTCCAGAGTGCTGTTACTCTACGCGCTTCAGAACTATAAGGGCGACGAAAAGATCAAAGCATTCATTTGGGATCTCATCACTCCTAACGAAGACGGAGGCGATAATCGCATTCATCGCAACCACTCGGGACTGAACGCTCCCGTCCCGCGCGGCCGCAAGAATAAGAAGATGAAAATGAAAACCGTTGGCGAAGAACTAGAGGTCTCCGACTGGGCTAAGGATGACAAATATAATCCCGATGTTCTCCTCACGGACGACATGTACCGCAAACATCTGCACCGACACGCAAACAAGTGAGTGCTTTAATCCATGCCATCATCTCTACGTCAGAACCCCTTTCGCCCCGAAATGCCCCCCAAACTGATGACCTGAAGCCATGCTAATACTGAGTGACTTTTTGAGCCACACTGAGTTTAATCGCTTATTTCTGATCTATTTTTCAAATTATTTGTTTGATTTATACTTTTATTCAAAAATTGATATATTTATTGAATTAATTTAAACAGAATTCTACTTCGAGTCCGACTTCTATATTATCTGAAACACGAGATAATCGGTTTGTTTCACGAACAAGTCTTTAACGGATGTGTGGCTCGCGATATACCGATCCCTCCGCCGGCAGCCGATGGCGATCCGCCCGCCCATTGGTGGGACGAAGACGCCGATAAGTCTCTTCTGGTCGGTGTGTATAAACACGGTTACGATCGGTTCAATTTGATGAGACAGGACCCGGCGCTCAGTTTCCTTGTGCGGTGCGGTCCGCCCGACGGCGCGGCCCTATTGGCCGAAATGAATTCAGACGAAGACTTGGGTAAAACTCTGGAGGAAGAGGACGAACCGGAAACGCCCGCCACTCCGGCCACTCCTCTCAGCGAAAGCGATACTACGGTTAAGAAATTGGAAAAATCCGATTCAAAAGAAGATCAAGATTTGAACGATCCGTCCAGTAATTTGCTTCCCTTCCCGTCTGCCGCTGATATGAACCATCGGTTGCGTCGAGTTGTGACCAGTTATCAGAGGAATTTCAAGAAACAAGAGATGAAAATAGCCCAAAGAGCGCGACACCAGCAAAGGCTTGAGAGACTCGAGCGGTTTGAAGCGGCCATCAAAGAGAGGGAACTCAAAAAGAGAGATTTGGCCCAAAAGTATGTTTTCGTAAAATGTGTTTTTATTAATTCAATATTAATGTGTGTTTTGTTGCATAGGAAATGGTCGCGCAGAGAAGAGGCTGACTTTTACCGCGTTGTGTCTTCTTTTGGTGTCGAATATAACCGAATCGATGACTCGTATGATTGGACGCGATTCCGATCGTTCGGCAAATTAGAGCGAAAGCTCGACGAAACTCTGACCGAATATTTCAAAGCCTTTTACGCGATGTGTAAACGCGTTAACGGAAGGCGTCTGACCGATGAGGAAGAGAACCTTCCCATTAGTGTTGATCCCATCTCTGAGGAGAGAGCGAGTCGTTGTTTAGCGCGAATCGATTTGTTGAGTAAAATCAGAGAAGAGATTCTGACGCATCCGGAACTCGAGGAGAGGCTCCAATTGTGTCAGCACTCCATGGATTTGCCCGATTGGTGGGTCTGCGGAAAGCACGACAAAGATCTGATGGTCGGCGCCGCCAAATATGGTCTCAATAGACTTGACTTCAATTTGGCAAACGATCCCGAATTGTCTTTCATTGACATCTTTAGTAAATTCGAGTCAAATGAAGACAAAAAGTCTGATATAATTGACACCAAATCTGAAGCAAAACCCAATGACTCTGAAGTGACAAATGAATTGAATTTAATTAAAGATGAAATTAAATCTGAAGACAAAACCGACGAGAAAATTGACGATAAGATTAATATTAAAAGTGAAGATAAAACTGACATTAAATCTGATGAAGACATTAAGGAATCAAATGACGATAAAAATAAAGATAAAATGGACGACGAAAACAATGAAAAAGAGATAACTGACGACAAAATGGATGATAAATCCGATAACAAAGTCGAAGATTTATCTCATGACAAAACCAGTGAATTGGAGACTAAATTAGATAAAAATGATGAAAAGTCTGATATTATAAGTGAAAAGAAAAGTGACTCCGAATTTAAAGAAGAGGCGAAGGAAAATACTACAGAAGTGACCGTTGATAAGGCCGAAGAAACGGCTGACGCGGACCACAATTCTTTGAAAACCGAATCCAAATCAGAAGATAAAACCGAAAAAGATATGGCTTTAAAAGCTTTGTTAGATAAAGACATTGATCCGAAAGAAGAGAAAATGGATACCGACTCGAATGATAACGAGAAATCAGACATACCATTGGATCCGTTCTCTCCACGAGAAGTAGAGAAATGCGTAGAAGTGGTGAAGCATTTGGTGGAGAAAGTGGAGGAAAAAATAGAAAACGAAAAGTCAATAGAGAATAAAGAAATCAAATCTGAAGAGACATTAGAAGACATTAAATCTGTTGCCACTGAAGACGATGTAAAATCCGAAGATAAAGTGGATAAAGAATCTGATATTAAACTAGAATTAGAATCAGCTTCTATTGTGACCGACAGAGACGTTACGATTACGCCGTCGTCGACACCACAGCCGCAATCATCTCAACTCAAGAGTTGTATACGATTTCCCAAAGACCGTGTCTTACAGATGAGATTAGAACAAATCTGTCACACCATCGAGAAGAATGAGTGGCCATCTCTTCGCCATTCGTTCTTTTCTCTTATCTCATGTCCACATCAATCGACTCCGAGTGTGGCCACTGCTGACAGCTCTCCGCGACCATTATCTCCGTGCAGTCTGTCGAGTGCCAGTCGAGAACCGACTCCACATCCGACTCCTGAGCAAACTCCACGACGAGAGGCTCTGTCACCGCTTCCGGACTTCTTCTACGCCGAGAATGCGGTGCAGATGAACGACGCGGCCAGTCGTCGGCGTAGACGCAGACGTCGGCGCTTTGAAGTCGAAGCCGAGAGACAGAAATTGCGAAATTTATTGTCACAGACTATTGAACAGCAACAACAACAACAACAACAGTTGACTCAACAGTTGACTCAACAACATTCGTCTTCAAACTCCAAAAAATCTCAACAACAGTCTCTTCTGTCCAACAATTCGTCTCAATTCCTGCCGCCGTTATTCTCACTTCCATTTGCTAATCTTCGGTCCGCTATTAGGGATGAGCTGATGACCGACGAGAAGACAGCGTCGCTATTGTTGGGTTCGACCCTCCAATCATCTCTGGCAGCGGCCGCGGCGGCCAGTGTTCAGCAACAGTCTGCCGCTTCGAACCACAGTTCGTCATCGAGTTCTAAGGGTCCGCCACCCGCTCACCAGAACTCTTCGGCCCGAAACAACCCTACAATGGGAACGTTAGACCTGACGGGAAGGTTTAAGTCGACGCCCAAAATGGCGACGCCTCCCGCGCCCGCTCACAAAGTGGCGCCGCCCGAGAGCCGTAAGGGACTGCCGCACGACGTGTTGGACTTGAGTTCAGTTCCGTGTAAACGCACTCGCGGTCACTCTCCGGCCAAAAAGGTTCAGCAACAGCCGCCAGAGCCCACTCCTATGCCCGTCGCGGCTAATCCGCCCTCAAAGAGGAGTTCCCGAAAGATTGGTTCCCGAATCGACGCATTGGCTCTCAATCTTCAGGCAAAGAAAATGATGGAAGAGAAACAAAGCGATCCAAAAGTGGATAAACTTGAATCCACTCTTTCGGCTCTGGAGAGGAAACAGGCGTCTCATTTCATGGACGAACTCAACAAACATTCACAGCTTCTTCACAATAAGACCCCACCGGCCGCTCATTCCAAGACCTCCTCCTCCTCTTCCAAACTGAATGACTCGCTATTGAGCGCCAAATTGAATGCACACTTCAGTTCGTTGGACGCGTCCAAACTGCCGCCCTCTAAGGCCAACGAGGCGTCCACTATCGCAGAACAGGTGGCTATCATTAGACAAAACTTGCGGAATCTATTCGAAGATCATCCAGAGTTTATCGCTCAGAACCCGAGTATGGCATCAATGGTGGCCGCGTCGGCCGCCAATGTCTTCAATCCTAATCTCAATATGAACTCAATATCTTCTTCAATGCCCGCAAATGTAAGCGTTTATTGATTTAGTGACTATTAATTGATTGATTGATTAATCAATACTTTTGTTTACTTTTAGACCGAGTTATTAGAACTTCCAGACAGTAGACGAAGTAGGAGTAGCCGCCGCTCACGTGTCGATCCCTCACAACTGGATTTGCAACACTTGACGGGAGAGGAGAACGTATCAGTCATTAACAGAACGACCGGCAAAAAAGTAATTCAAATCGAATTAATTATTTAATAAACGTTTTAATCATATAAATCGCTTTCAAATCAGATAACGGGCTCAAAAGCCCCGCCTCTTAAACATTTGGCTGAATGGCTCGATAAGAACCCTAAGTTCGACGTCGACCCCAAATGGAGTCCTCTCGTCAATAAGGAAAAGGCGGCCACTTTTAAGACACCCGTAAGTTGTGATTGTTGTCCGAAATGATGTCAAATACTGTAAATTAATTAAATTTTATGAATTGCAGTCATCTGTACCTACTATTGGTGTGAGAACTCGAACCAGTGATAAACGGAGTTCAAGTAGTTCTTCAAATTCGAGTCTAACGGCTCTCGCAAACAACCTCTTGAACAACAGTTCCGGTAATTTAGGCTCCGGTAGTAATAACAGCGGATCGAGCAGTAGTTCCAGGCGTTCGACGGCTGCGTCTCTATTGGCCAGCGGTTACGGAAACGCTTTTGGAAACCCGACCGTCACGTCCAGTGGTCTGAGTTACCCGTCGTCGGCGGCGCTCAACTCATTCAACGCCAGTATGTTAGCGGCCGGCTTCCCATCTATGAAAATGTTTATGGACCAGACGGCCGGCTCCACCACTGCCTCGTCTCACACCACAACATCTCACACTAAGTCTACTTCGAGTGCGACCTCTTCTGCAAACACGTCGACCACCACTTCGACAACTCCCACATCGAGTGCTCCGCCGATGTTCTTCCCATTCGGAGGTCTCGCGGGAATGGGTTTAGCGAATCCACTCTTTGGATTCCCGAGCTTTAATCTGCCCGGACTTACACCCAATTCCAATGCTATGACCGGAACTACATATTCGGATAAGAAAGACTCGGACAGCGGTTCCACGAATGAGAAGTCCAAAAGATCGAGTTCCAAAAATAAGAGTAGTCTCAACTCAAGCGGACTATTGAGCCAATCGGCGGCGGCGTCAGCCCTGGGCTCGGGAGCGCTTCCATTCTTATATCCGTCGCCAAACTTTCTTTACAATCCCTTAAGTTTGAGCGGATTTTCCGGATTAAGCGGTTCTCCATTCGGTTTACCGGGACTTATGAATGGTTTGGGAGGTCTGAACACCACAGCGATGGGTGGCTTCAGTACTAATACCACGAACTCGTCATCTCATATGAAAACGAAAACATCTTCGAGTAAATCATCAAAACTGTCGCACAGTTCCAGTGTTAGTAGTGCTCCGTCGGGACTCTCGTTGGCCAGTAGTTTGTTAGCGAGCGCTGGCGTTCACCCATCGAGTGCTGCCGCGGCCGCCGCTATCGGCGACTCCGACGACGACAGTCTAAAGTCTCTAATGGATAACAACGATGACGACGACCTGAACGGAGATTACGACGACAAAGACCTAATGGACACATCAGACTATGAAACAGAATCAAAGAGTGCCTCCAATCGCAAGAAGACATCAGTGAACAAGTCTTCAAAAGATCTAACGAAAGGCCGAACGAAAGGCAACTCTAATTCTACCTCAAAAGTGTCGCCCAATTGATGAACCGATTGATTAATTAAATATTTTAGCAAAAAATTGTGATATTTTTAAAGGCAATTAATCCTTGACTTTAAAGCTAACTATACATACAATTGACTAATGAATCGCTGCTTAAACTCTAAATTATTAGATGTATTACTGGTTTTGAATTCCGATTATCCGACAAAATAATGACTGCATTTATTCGCTGCGAAAAAAAGTATAACTTTTATCATAAAAATTCAAACAAAACAAAATAACTTATACTACAAATCGTGATATAAATTATTGAAAAAATAGTGTTTCAAATATGAATTGAACTAAAAATACTGACAAAAAAATTGTGAGTAAAAACAAATTGATACACAAAACTGCTGCTGTGCTTAACATGTATTTGAATGGACAATATGTTGAAAAAGAAATCATTACTTCATTATATAATTGTACATAACTTTTATATTCGTCATTATTATTATTATTAATTATTATATAATTTAGAAGAAAAAATTGTTCAGTTTTATTAGAGCACCGAAAATATTTTCACCACTTATTATGTCTACAAACAAACAAAAACTGATAATTCTTTACAAAAACTTTATTATTTGACAAAACAAATTGGCTATAATTGTAATATTGTTGTTATACTATTCATACCATACTTTTCTCTCTATCTCTCAGTTTTCTTGTCTCCAATTTTCTAAACAAAGAACTAATCAAATGCTGAGCTTTTTATATATTAATTAATGAATTATTAGTTTATTTATATTTATTATTACTTTTTGTCTGAGTTTAGCGAATATTTCCTAAAAAACTGAATGTCATTCACAACACAAACACGATTATGAAAAAAACAGTCAAAACTTTACTTTTATTCTCTGTCTCTCCTTCTCTTCTCATCATTTAATTGATTACTATTTGGAGTTTAAAAGCTGTGCTTAAACTTAAAATGAAATATACAATAATTGTTTAGACTATTATTGTTTATATTGTAAATCAATATTAAAACAATTAATTATTGGTACAGTATTTTACATTCCCTTCAAATTTTATACTCAAACAAAAAGATTGTCATTGTTTTGGACGAAACGTAAAACACTCGCGCTTTCAATTGAATTGTCAGTTAATAGTGAAAGAAATTACTTTTTATTGAACGCCAGTAGCCATCAAATCGAGTGATTTATTATTTTATGATTTATATCAATAATTAGATATTGTTTTTAGAAATTATTTTGTATGAAAAGACTACTTAATTATTTTATTTTTTAGAATTAACTTTTTTTGATTTTATATATTTGACTCATTATTATAATTATATCTAAAATTATATTTAAATTAAAAACTATAGTTGAGATCTTCCTTAACAACAACCAAACGTATAGTGCCTTTCATTGCGAAACAATTGCTACTGAACTCTAAAACTGGGACTCATTATTATTATGAATGACTTTTCTAATCCTTTTTCTAAATTATTTCCTAAATTCATATGAATTTTGTGTATAAAATGCGCGAAAACAGCTCAAGAACTCCAAAAATCCTTTTTTTATTTAATTTTTGATATTATTCTCCAAAAAACTATCTCATTGTCTAATGTTTTTATAATTCACACACTTTTCTGCCCACAAATCTATGGATAGGACTTTCTTTGTGTTCATAAAACAACATAATAACAGACAAAATACCAAAAATTAATTAATAGACGACTTCTTTTTGTTTCGTGTGTATATTTATTAATTAATTCCTGTTTTAAATATTTTGGACTTAAAAACCAATTAATGAATTTACTGTCGAACAGTATTGTAAAGGGTATATAACTATGGTTTTCACAAATCATCATTAATTATGAAAATACAAATTCATTTCAAAACCATCAAAAAATAAATAACAAAATTAATAACTATTTATTTGAAAAAAGTGTTATAATTATATACAAAAAGTATATATATATAAATATGAATAGTCTGTCATTACAACAAAAACAATTGAATGTCTTGTAATTGTCTGGTGTTTTGGCCATTTCTATCTCATTCCCGATCATAAGAGCCGTCGCACCGGACAGTGAAAAGGCGTTTCGATTATATAATTATTTAATATCTCTTTAATACTTTCATGAAATCATTTTTTGATTGACACAAAGAAAATCCATTGAGAAATCATCTCTTTTATTGTGAAAGCGGTGTTATTACTAAATAAAAATAAATAAATTTAAAAACAAATACAATTCAATATTATTATTACTATAAAACTACTGTATTAGACGACTAAATGGAAAACCTAAACAAAATGCTAAATTATAAATGAATTTTTGAATTGATAAAAACCATACAAAAATCTGTGTATAAAAATCGGAACTTTTATTGGATTTTTAAATTAATTAAAACAAAAAAAGTTTTAGTCAACTTTTTTGGAAACTATAGACAAAATGAAAAACTAATTTAGAGATCTGTTGTATTTAATTAAATGAAAAACAAATTGAATTCCAAACAAATTGTAATTATTATAAAATATATGATTAATAATTCATTTTAAAAAATACATTAAATTTAGTGTTTGTATTGATTGTAATTTTAAAACTTTTTTCAAACAAAAATACAAATACGGTTCATATTTGAGTAAAAATATTTTATTTCAATTTTATTGCATATATTTTCTTCCATCTCTTCAACAATCGTATTAATATTGACCTCAAATATGGCATTAAATGTGTATATATTTTGAAGAATAATAGTAAGTATATTATACTTTGAGTGAAAGTTTTAATACAACAAAAATTACTATTTATAAATCATTGAATCTCGAGTTTTCGCGATTTCTTCACATATTTTCTCAAGAAATTCCCAATTTTTAAGTTTTCCTCAAAATTATTTCAATCATTTCCTAACAATATTAATATTTTGACTAACAATGAGTACAATTAAATAGTAATATCTTTTTGTGACATTGGATTCATTGTCATCCATATTACGGTTCACTAATTGCTAGAAGTTGTTTAAACAATGAAAAGTTGAAAGAATTTAGCATGGAGCATTTATCAGATCAAATATTTTATTATCACATAAATTGTCGAGTTTAAAATGCATTACAATTCAAAATCTAAATCATTATTTGATTGGCAAACATTGCAAAACTAATGGAAACATAACGTATCGTAACATTAATTCAAAACAAAATTTTAAAAAAGTTGTCAAAGATTTAAAAAACATTAAAAAAAATTAAACAATAAAAAGCAAATAAACAAAAAGTGTGTTAAAAGAGTTGCGTCTGTATAAGACTGGCGTCGAGTTTGAAGTTATTAAACCTCTCGCAGAACTTGTGAGCGTCCGATGGGTTAACAAAATATGTCTTTCCACGGCGTCTGCCGTTCACTAATTCAATTGAACAGCTCTTCACTTCGCCCACAGTTTGACAAATGGCTGAAATGCTGTATTCATTACTTTGCGGCGAAAGGTTGTCAATGATTACGCCATTGATTTCACCAAATGGTTGTCGCTTTGGAGTCGTATCCATCGCTTCATTGTTCTCAAAATCCTCGTGTTTTATGAATCGTTTTGGTATCTCAAAGACCCGTTGGGTTGCTATTGGTTTGTATGGTCCGAGTCTAGCGTTTGAGTCCAGTTTCAAGAGCGGCCTTCGTTTGAATGTTGGTCTCATCTCTTCGTCAAAATCTGCGTTTTCTTGGCTCAACTCTCGTACTCTTGTGTCCTCACAAACCATTTTCTCCAATTTTCTCTTTGCGATCAACGCATCCGACAGTCTTTGCTGAATGTTTTCCTTTCGTCGGACTTCTTTGAATTTCAATACTTCTTGGCGTTTGAGATCTCTTTCCTTCATTTTCATCACATAGTCGTTGTCGACTCCAAGTCCTGCCTCTTCTATAGCGTTGGTCATCGTCTCAGTATTGGACAACATTATTGAAGTGATTTTATTGAACACCAAAATGATTATGAATTTTGTGAGAGAATGCGATGAGAAAGCAATGTCTTATAGCTTTAATGAGACGATCAAAAGTGATTGATTTGAACCATAATTTTCTCAACCTTTTTACTTTATTGTAATCTACAAAACATTCACATTATTTGATAAAAATGTGAATTAATGTGAACTTATATTTTTATATTTATCATTGAATCGTTGTTTCCATAAGAATAGAGTTCTACAAAGTTTTCAAACTATAACATGCATTAACTTTTAACTAAAGATTATTAAACTTTATAATTGAGCGAAAAGTTCAGAACTTTTAAAACTTATTTTAAAAATAATATTTAACTTTTAGACAAAACGAGTTATGCATTAAAAATAGCCTTTAAATCATGTGTCAAGAAATGCATTGTTCAACGAGAAAATCGTCGGTTTTCTATAAAACTAATAGTTTTAACGATAAGAAACAAAACGAAGAAAAAAGTTTCAAAAAGTTTCAAAGTTTTTTGTTAGACATGAAGAGTGGGTACGAGTTGTAAGCGATAGAGAGATAGAGATAGACGTGAAGTGTTGTATTGAATGCCAGCAAAGAGTGTGTAAACACTAAACACCAAAACCATTGCATAACATATTGTGAGCGTAAATGTGTGTCGAGTTTACCACACATTCAATACACAAACCATTCATTCATTCATACGATTCGGTCATTCATTTGTGAGACAAACATCTCATTAATCGTCGCTTTCAATGGTTTGTGATTTACATGTGATTTAATAGTCGCCAAAACAATGACCACAAACTCCATAAGACTTCCCCGAAAACTACCCGTCCTTATCATCGATGGCGTCCTCTTCCCCGGTAAGCGTCACTCAAGTGATTGGCTTTGAATTGTCACAGATTTGTCACTAATTGACATGTTTTGTATTGGTTGAAAGGGTCGAGCATAAGGATCCCGGTCACCTCATACCGCAAGTATATACACCACTTCCCAGACACCACTCATTCAGACACCAAATCTCTTTAGTCTTTGTACCAATTGATAGCAGTTTTGTGTCTATTTTTGTTGTGTTTAATACTTACAGCAAATGTTAGTCTTATTTGTGGATCAAATGATAACAATTACAATAACTTCTCAGAAATTTGGTTATGTTTTGAATGAAACTTTGTTTGCTTTAAAGTTAATGTCTATAAATAACCAGTGATTTTGTATTGACTTATAATTGGGAACAGTATGTCAATGGTTAGGAGTCATCTGCTCAACAGATCCACCCTTTCCAGCGCCATCATTGGTGTCGTCCCCAAAGAGATCGCGACCAACGCTTCCAATACATCCACACCCGATGACGACAACAAATGTTTGCAAATATATCCTCAAATTACTAAAGTTTATACTTATGTTATTTGTTGGATCAGATGATGACAACGGTATGCATTCAATTGGTTGCGCGGGTATTGTGGTTCAGGTGACGGGAACTAATTGGCCGCGACCTTCATATACCCTTCTGGTGACGGGATTGTGTCGATTCAAACTCGAGACTATAGTTAATGAATCGCCGTATTTGGTTGGTTTGGTTCAACAGTTGGATAAACTGCCCGTCGATGACATCGGTTTGCCATCAATTTTGGTGTTTTGTGTTTTAACTGGTTTTGCATTTATTTAGAAATAAGTGAAGAAAACGTTGAACTCTCGGACCTAAAGGAACAGTTTAGAGAACAGGCGTCACGACTGATAGATATGTTGGATCTGTCGGTGCCGGCCGTCGGACGACTTAAACGTATGTTGAATTCCCTTCCCGTCCAAAGTCTTCCGGATGTCTGCGCGGCTATAGTGAGGGCCTCTCACGCCGAGAGACTACAGATTCTCGATTCGGTTGATTTGGCCGAAAGGTTCCGCAAAACACTTCCACTACTTATCCGACAAATTGAAGTAAATATTTGATTATACTTTAAACAAATATTTGATTGTATTGTCTCTCTGTTGATGAAAAGGGTTTACAATTGCTTCAAAAGGCCAAAAAAGACGGTACTTTTGCCACACAAACGCTTCAAATGGACAAATTGGCAGACATTGGACGCCATAATCGCATCGATATTGACGACGAAGATAGCGATGATTCGGATGACATCGCGTCCATTGAGCGCAGAATACGATCGGCAGAAATGTCTGAATTGGCGCGAAAAGTGTCTCTCAAAGAGTTGTCGCGACTGAAGAAAATGCCGACACATATTCCCGATCACGCGATTGTCCGCAACTATTTGGAACTGATGACAGACTTGCCGTGGAGTAAGACATCGCCTGAAATGTTAGATCTGAAGAAATCGCGACAAGATTTGGACGCCGATCACTACGGGTTGGAGAAATTAAAGCAACGAGTTTTGGAATATTTAGCGGTTCGACAGCTGAAGAACTCACTTAAGGGACCCATTCTTTGCTTTGTGGGACCGCCGGGTACTCAACAATTGATTTGTTTAAATATACATTTTATCATTCATTTTGTTGCATAACTTATGTTTGACTAATTGATTGAATCTTTAGGTGTGGGCAAAACAAGTGTCGGCCGCTCTATAGCCAAGTCTTTGGGCCGAGAATTTCATCGAATATCTCTGGGAGGAGCGTGTGATCAGGCGGGTAGGGATGCCATCACTGCTTATTATCTCATATAANACACCGGACGCCGACTGCAGGACAACGTTGTCGTCGTTCATCACTAATATATTATATAGCAATACGTAATGAAAGGCGCGTTTGTGTGGATGAGTTCAAAGGTCACCATTCAGTTCGTATATATAAATACAATTTTGTATAACAAGTGGTTTAGACACTAAACGTACGGCACATCAGTGGATGTGAAGCAGAGCTCACTCTCTAATTATGTGCCCCTTTTTGGCCGAACAGGCAGTCAGTCAGTCAACAATTGCCGTACACTTAATGCCCTCCACTATAACTATTACCAACAGATCTGCTAATTATCGCCAAACGACGTATTCTTCTTCCATATCTCTAAGCAACCAATACTTGATAACAATTATTTAGTCGATTGCATATCAACTATCAATTGGTTGCTGTCATTATCTCATATCACGTGTCTCTTTGTTTGCGTAATTCTAAACCAGAAACTCTATTGGATTCAATTGCAACCTCTCTTATCATTTTTCGCCTCAAACTTTACTGTCCATAACTACACAATAAATCACCAAAAGTTAGTCCCAAAAATAATAAACATTCAATTTGTTTTAAAGAACCAGTGGAAGCCCAATAACCGTAAAACAATTGGTAACCAATCATAATTTACTATATTTATCATTTTTAGTTTTTGAAAAAAGTATCCGTTGTCAATCAGGAATTTGCTGAGCCTGAATATCAGAATTTGTTTTACAGATATCATTTAAATAGCTATTTATTGTCAAATTTAAGTTTAAAATTTATGATAAAAATCAATAGAAAAATAATAATTGAGGAAAAGGACATTATAATTATAATTCAATTAATTTCTAAAACTACAGTAAAAGTTCTCAAAACAATTCAAGTATTATCACAGAAAATAAGTCTATTTTGTCTAACAAATTATATATCAGAGTTTGCTCTCCATATGACCACCGTTTAAATGCCGATTCAAAGGAGTGATGCGTCCATCAAATGCCGCTTCAATTACTTCATCAATATGTGAGACGAAATGAAAATACATTTCCGCCTATAATCACAACAAATGAAATGCTAAATAAACGCTGAATTAATTGAATAATACAATAATCAAAACCTGAATTGTTATCGGAATTTCAATCAAATCCTTTTCGTTTCTTTTGGGCAGAATAACGGTCCGAATGCCGGCCCGATGTGCGGCCAATACCTTACTTTTAATGCCTCCGACGGGTAGTACGACTCCTCTCAATGTTATCTCTCCAGTCATCGACACATTAGACGAGACAACTTTCCCCATAAACAGTGACATCAAAGCGGTCACAATTGTAACGCCAGCCGACGGCCCGTCCTTACCGACAGCGCCGGCGGGAAAATGGATGTGAACATCGGTTCCTTCCATCACATCCGATGTGTAAGTAATTCCATCGCTTCGATAGTCATTGATATGAGTGCGAACCCAATTAAGGGCCAGTTTCGCCGATTCCTTCATAACATCTCCCAATTGACCTGAATATTAGAAATTCATTTCTATAAATAAACTCATAGCAACCCAATCGTCGATTTGCACACCCGTTAGTATAAGCTGTCCGTCGCCTTCCATTCTGGTCGCCTCGACAAACATTATTTCGCCGCCGACTGTAGTCCAGGCCATACCCACCGCTACTCCGGGCACTCCTAGCCGTGCGGCCAATTCGTTCTCATAGAGAGGCGGCCCTAATATGTCCTCAATACTCGATTCGTTGACAATAATCGGCAACTTTTCGGCGCCTAATAAGTGATCGACAGTTTTCACTTCATGTGATTCGTTGGTCAATAGGTTTTCGTCGCTTTCGAGCGATATATTATTGAGTCGATTGTGTTCAACAACTTTGACGGCCACAGCCCTACAGACGGCACCGATCTTTCTCTCGAGATTACGAACGCCGGCCTC